TTAAATGTTGACAACAGGAGATCTCTTACATTTACCCACATATTTACTATTTCCTGCACTCTTTCTTTGTGAAGATTCAAGTGTCTATTTGATATCATTTCCTTTTTGCCTGAAGAACTTCCTGTACAATTGGTAGTATAGGTCTCATGGGGTTTGTCTGAAAAAGTATTTTTGGAAAATATGTTTGCTGGTTATATAATTCTAAGGTGACAGATTTTTCTTGTCTTTCAGCATTTTAAAGATGGATTATTATTGTCTTCTGGCTTGCATCATTTCTGGCAGGAAGTCTATGGCCATTTGTTCTTTCTATATATAATGAGCCTCTTTTTCTGACTGCTTTTAAGAGTTTCTATTTATCACTTTATCACTGCATCCTGGTGGAGTCCACAACTTCTGCTGACCCCTTAGGGCTCTAGAGAGGCCCAGTAGAGCATTGGTTGGAGGTCTTGATCCTTTTTTGTTCAGATATGACTGGTTGACTGGTTTGCAATGAAGTTATCACAGTAGCGTTTATATTTGCAACTGCCAACAAATCAAGCCAAAAAGTCACTTGCAGATTTATATGTGTCTTTGTGAATACTCAAAAAATCCTCTTCCCAATGTTAAGGAAAAACAAAACCTGCCAATGGTTAGAGCAGTAAAAACAAATTTTAATCATGAACTGTTGCAATCAAGGAAAAGAGACTTCAGTATTGAACTGGGTTCAGCTCCAAATACAGCATGAACAAGTGAATATTTATAGCCAAGGAGCAGGGTGGGGGTCAGTGGATAGAAAATTACTAAAAGAAACATCCAACGTAAGGAGAGATTCTAGTAAACAGACTTGAACAGGAAGGCGGACCAAGGTGATCAGACATCACCTGGGAGTGATGTAGGGGGGTGAGGAAGTTGATCAGAGATTGAGGGTGATCAGATGTCAAGTGTGGGGGGTTTATCTCTAAGCTGGCATCACACGATTATTGATACCACTGGGTGAGGCAGTCCAAATGAGGACAATCACTAAGGTTAAGGCCTTGCGACCTTAGAGGAACCCAACTACAGGTTAGTTGAGGAGGGAGACCTCCTACCTCTTCTCAAATGTAATGAAGCATTCCCCAGGATAGGCCACAAGTTAACCATAAAACAATTCTTAACAAATATAAGAAGACTGAAATCATAAATCTTTTTCAACCACAATAGAATGAAACTAAAATGAATAGCAGCAGGAAAACTGGAAAATCCATAGAAATGTGGAAATTAAACAACACACAAACAACTATGGGTCAAAGAAGAACTCACAAAGGAAATTATAAAATAGCTCGAGACAAATGAAAATGAAAACGCAACCCACAAAAACTTATGGAATGCAGGAAAAGCAGTGCAAAGAGAAAAGTTTATAGCCATAAACGCTTACATTAAGAAAGAAGATCTCAGCTGTGAGCTGAGGTGAGACCCATCGAGGCGGCGTGTTCTCTCTGCCGTGAGCTTTCTCACTAGCCGAATTCAACTGGGTGAACTATGAGTGCCCGAGTCAGATCCAGATCCAAGCAAAGAAAAGATGATCCGGGGTCTAAACATCAGGAGCAGCAACCCAGTGATGAGCAACTGAAACAAAAGGAGGCACCACCTGAGAGTCAGGATATTCTACCTGACCAAGGGAAAGAAGTTGAAGCAGGACCTGTGGCTCAAGGACGGGACCTGGAAGCTGATCTCCAGGAGCTGCCTCAGGCAAAGGCTGGGGTATAACTGAAGATGACCCTGATTCAAGGGGCCAAGTCTACCCTTCTTAGAGCCCATTAAAATGCCGGAAGCAGGGCGCCTAGGTGGCTCAGTTGGTTAAGCGACTGCCTTCGGCTCAGGTCATGATCCTGGAGTTCCGGGATGGAGTCCCGCATCGGGCTCCCTGCTGAGCAGGGAGTCAGGTTCTCCCTCTGACCACCCCCCCCATGCTCTCTCTCTATCTCTCATTCTCTCTCTCAAATAAATAAATAAAATCTTAAAAAAAATTTTTTAAAAATTAAAAAATAAAATGCTGGAAGCAGGTGAAGGACGACTCCAGATTTAAACAAGGACAAGCTGAAACATGCAGACTACTCTTATGTGGGGTACTTCACTGTTGTAGTTCTCTCAATAAAGTTTTACAGACGTTCCACAAAAAAAAAAAAGAAAGAAAATCTCAGATCAAGTACCTAACTTCACATCTCAAGGAACTAGAAGAACAAACTAAACCCAAAGTTAGCAGAAGAAAGGAAATAATAAAGATTAGAGCAGAGATAAATGAAATAAAGAGTAGAAAAACATCTTTTTTATTTCTTCTTATGAATTTTATGAAACTGAAAACCCTAAATTGGCCTCAGCTCTCTCAGCATTTCTATCCTAGAAAGTATAACACCACAAACACATTCCTTCCAGTCCTATATCCTCACCCCCATGATGGAATCTAGACTACCCCAGAACCCATTAAACTAGCCTTGAACCCTATCCCTTGCTTTTTCTATGATGTTCTTAAAGGAAATCTAAGGATACACTGTTCCTGTCCCCCAAGTAATGTATCGAGGGCTCAAAGAAACAAAAAACACGTGTTAGAAACAACAAATGCTGGATTTTTTGGTGCTGAAAGGAATCAAGCCAGAAGGCTTTCTGAAGTGTTCTGAGCAGTTTCCTGAAGAAGGAGAGGGACAACCTGATGAGAAGGTGGGCAGACTTCCCAGACAATGGGAAGACAGTCTCAGATTGCAGAGGAATCCTCAAACTGGCGATAAACCAGGAGCTTGTTGTGTCCCTGACTACATGGGGCCAACCCTGTTCCTGCACCTCCACCAGACAGGGGGGACTACACAAGCCTCCCCTGGGATGTCCCATTCACCCAGGCATGTTTAAAAAAAAAAAAAAGCCTGTGATGATAAAACAAGTAGGATATGGATGCCACATTATTAATTCTGATTGCTCAGAATATGCCTATATACTTTCATACACAACCAGACTCCAGGATCTCACGGCATTACACCTTTTCATAGTGCTGAGCCTGAGATGAAAGGGAATAGAACAAGCTTCAGGGAAAGCAGAAGAGATGAAAGGATCACAGCTTCTTCAAATAACTCCTAAGACTTGAGAGACTCAAATTCTGCTTGATGAAGTGAATGCTGCAGAGCATATCAGCAATCAATAAGACAGTGCAACTCCAGAAAACCTTGAGTAAGTAATAAACAAGCCCTAGTCCCAAAAGATTGGGGTTTTCTTGATCTTGGCCAGTGTGCTGGGAGTGCTACCCACTTGGGGAGAATGTTCCTTCTCATCAGAGACAGAGTGGACAAAATTACAAATGATTACACACTACTTTCCCACCTTTACAAAGTATTTGTATTAGTCAAGACTCTTTGACTTAGAAATAAGAACAGCCTAATACAATTCAGTTAAGGGGGAAGAAAAAAAAAACCCAGAAATTTACACGGCTCACATGGCTGGAAAGAATCCTGAGAAAACGCACATAATTCAGAAGTTCTGTAAGAACCAGGGATTCGGGACTGGACCCCGGACTTGGCACTTGCAGATTTATCTGTATGTGTGTCTTCCTCTCTTGGTACCAATCTCATTCTCTCTCCCTGCAAGCAGGCTTCCTCCATATGGCAAGTACGTGTTTACATCCTTCCAGCACTTTGATTCCAAAGACAAAGTCCCAAGAAGAATCCAACGGGCCCAGCTGAGATCACTTGCCAATTACTGAACCACGTTCTGAAGGCAGCGGGTTGGACTACTCTGTTTGACTAGACCTAGATCGCTTGCCTACCCTGTGGATTAGGAGAGGTAGGACCAGAAAATGTGGCCCTGCTCCCTTCAGAGCACTTGGAGTGGGAGAAGACTTTTCTGAAGGAAAAGGGGGTAAGAAGGGGAGAGCAGTCATCACTGAGCTGCTGTGGGCCAACGTAATGCTCAGTTGGCTCTTCCACGCACCTTGCCTTTACCCCCCACACACACTTCTGCCCAGATAGCTCCATTATAATCTCCTGGATGCTAGTTTTGCTTTTAAGGCATGGAGTGGCTTAAATAAAAATTATTCCCCAAGACAAATGGATGGTACCCCAAGGCCAGGATTGAGATGAGAAGTTGCCTAAGGAATTCAGGGAAATAATTGGGCCAGGCGGCATGGACAGGGCATAAAGTGTTAATAAAATTAAAGGTTTGTTGAGCACTTACCAAGCTTTATTAAGTACTTACTATATAACAAACGTCACTCTGCCTTTTCTCCAGAACAGGTGAAGTTTAGGGAGGCTAATTGATGTTGAAAGGTCACATAGCTCCTAGCCTACCTCCAGAGCCCATCGGCTCAACCAGGTTGCTGCATTGCCTCCCCAGCTAAACTAGATGTCAAAAGACTTGGGTCTAAAATATAAACGGGTGGGTGTATTGGGGTGGGTATTTTCCACTTTCACATACTTTCTAGATTTTCTTTCATGAACATATGTTACTTCTATAATTAAAAACAAAAATGTCCATGAAACAGAGAAGCCTAGGCTATGGTTGCGAATCTACCCTTAAGTCACTCACCAACACTGGCAACATGTCTTTCCCCCGCTGGGCCTCCGACTTCCAGGTCACATCGATGGTTGCTGACAACTCAGATTGGGAATTTGTCTGACCTCCCCTCGCAGGGGATCAGTTTCTGGAACTAAAGGTTGGAAGGCTGGACCCATGGATGAAAAGGGGGTAGGGGGGGATCAGCTTGGGGTAGCCCAGGAAGCCAAAAAGTTTCAGATGTATATAGTCCAAAGCCTGGGGAAAGGACAGCAACCCGACGGGAAGGACGAGTTGACAACAGATCAAGCAAGACAACCCAGTAAGTGCCAGGAGAGACTCCGAGCGAGTCAGCACAGAGGCTGAGAGTGTGAACAGCTACACCCCTTTCATTTGGGGAACCCCCTTCCCACTGCATGCAGACTTGATGTGACTGTGAAGGAGCCTGTCTCTCCTAGGCCGAGTGTTAGAAGGACTGAGGACAGATGAAGCAAATTCTTCCTTATCAGGACCCCTCACTGTTTGTTTTTTTTTTTTTTTTTAGAAAAAACACAGGACTTTATTATTCCCATTACAAAGGGCAGGTCTTCACAGGATGAGGGCGGGAATTCTGATGGTGGAGAGGAGGCCCCTACTTGCTGGCGATGAGCGGGTTCCGCAGGACCACGATGACCGAGTCCCTGCGCAGGAACATCTTGGAGATGTAGCGGTCCTTGTTGACTGGCTTGGACTTCTTCTTGCCCTTGCCGCTCTTGGGGACCTCGGTCCACATCTCCTTCACATTCTCCAGCACCATGTTGCAGTGCCTGTCGAAGGCCTTTACGCGGCCCAGGAGCTTCTTGTTGTTGCGGCAGTTGATGAGCACCTGGGTGTTGTTCTTGACTGACTGCGTGAGCACAGAGAGCGGACCTGTGTTGAACTCTTCTTCCTCCCGCTTCTGCAGCTCCTCTGGGGTCATCTCACTCTTGGGCTTGTTGAGGAGGCTCATGGTGATAGTGCCTGAGGTCCCAGATCAGCGCCGTCTCCTCTGCGTTGCTGCTGCCTCTGAAGAGAGAGCGACAGGCGGGCAGGACCCCTCACTGTTTTTGATATCACATTCCCAGAGCTGGGCTGGTTCCCGTCACTCCCAAAGACTGCTCCTTCCACTTCTCCTCCAGTCAAGTGTTTGTGTAATTTAAGTCAGTTTCTCTTGCTTGTGACCAGAGAACCCTAATGTATACAGCTGTCTCTCTTTGTGTGGATAATATAACTTTGTTCTGTCAATTTTAGGGTCAATAATCATTTACTGAGTCCCGCTAAGTGCCAAGATCTGTGCTGAGCACTTCCGCACATATCAAGAGAGAAAATCCATCGGTGCAGAATCAGTCCCCTGGGACCCAGTGTTGAGTAACTTCTGGGTGTCCGATGGGGATGCTTGACAACAAGAGGGCTAATACCCGATCCAGCTGGAGTCCCTGACGAAGCCGCTATGGTCGTATCCCAACATGAGATTTGTCGCCGCTATGATCAGATCCCAGCGTCCCGCCTGCGCCACAGCTGATGGCCCAAACCATAGTTTTCTGGCACCACCTCCCATCCTATACCTGACTGTGGCTCCCTGTCCCTCATCTTCTCTCCGGCTTTCATCTCATACCTGTGCTTCAGACCACTGCTTTCCTGGACGGGCCTCTGGCTTCCCTCTCCAACTGTGCCTTGAATTTTCTTTCTGCTTCATTCAACAAATACTAAGTTACCAATTGCCAGGCATAAAGGATCCCATTCTGAGTTAGACAGACGTTGCCCTGTCCTCATGACCGTAGAAGCCCTTAGAGAAGGCTGACATTAAACAAGCCGTTTTTTAAAATGTGATGAGTGATGCAGAGGCTTTAGAAGAACCAGCAGGAGCACAGGACCAGGTCCTAAAGTCTAGAGCTTGGGAAAGGCGTCCAGGAGCAGAAATGAGTTTGAACATATGATGACTTCAAAGCAGAACATTTTGAGTTTGCAGGACCTGGGAGGCACCCAGGTGACTGCTGTGCACTTTGGGTTGTGTGGGCTTCTCCCACCCAGACCCAACCCCAGGCCCAGGATCCCAGCAACACAGACCTCAGCAAGTTCACCTTGAACGTAAAACAGACACATACAAGTTTGTTGTCTAGGACATCCCAGGCCAGCTGAAGAGACGAGAGTGGCCTCTGCAGAACACAAGAAACTTATCAAACGCCAATAACGGCTTGCTCTGCTTGGTGGGGCCTCACGGGGCACAGTGGCAGAGAGAGGTCAGCTCAGTTGTCAAGGAAGGCTTCATCCAGCACCTTGCAGATAATAAAGGAGTGGTAAATATTTGCTGATTGTTTGATGATTGCTCCCCGGGCTGGGCCACAAAATCAGACGGTATCTTAACTGAGGCAGGCAGCACTGGGCCACAGAAAGGGGTGAGAGGCCGGGAGTGAGGGTGGAAGTGGAGGGGAAACCCTGGCATGGGAAATCTGCTTGAACGTTCACCCGCCTCCATCCCTTCCCCAGCCTGGTTTCACACTCAGGCAGCCTATTTGCTCCTGCTTCTTTCCACCCCTCCTCCCTCAGGACACAGCCTTTTCTCCTGACAATGCTGACCTCCGTCCTTCGGGCTCCCTAAGCCCGCCCTGAGTCCTTCCCTCGTGGCTGGTGTCCAACCAGTGGGGCTAAGGGAGTGCTAACTCTCACTGGCGTGTTTAAATATAATCTTCCCTTTAGACTCTGACCTCTGAGAAAACTTGTCCAGACCGAAAGCAACGTGGTGAGGGGGGAAAGGTTTATTTTTTTAAATTATTTATTTATTTATTTATTTATTTGAGAGAGAGAGAGAAAGAAAGACAGAGAGAGGGAGAGCGTGCACAAGTGGGGGGGAGGGTCAGGGAGAGGGAGAAGCAGGCTCCCTGCTGAGCCGGGAGCCCGATGCAGGACTCCATCCCAGGACCCTGGGATCATGACCTGAGCCGAAGGCAGATGCTTAACTGACTAAGCCACCCAGGCGCCCCAGAGGTGTTTTTTTTTTTTTTTTAAGATTTTATTTATTTATTTGACAAAGAGAGACACAGTGAGAGCAGGAACACAAGCAGGGGGAGTGGGAGAGGGAGAAGCAGGCTTCCTGCCGAGCCGGGAGCCCGATGCAGGGCTCAATCCCAGGACCCTGGGATCATGACCTGAGCCGAAGGCAGCCGCTTAACAACTGAGCCATCCAGGTGTCCCCCCAAAAGGTTTATTTTAAAAAGGTTACAAAAATATCAGAACTTATAGGGGCGTCTGGATGGCGCAGTCGGGTAAGTGTCCGACTCTTGGTCAGCTCAGGTCATGATCTCAGGGACTTGAGATCAAGCCCCTCTCCGAGCCCCAGCATGGGCTTAAGATTCTCTCCTTTTGCCCCTCCACGCCCCGCTCCCCACTTGCAAGTGCTCGCTCTCTCTCTCTCAAAAAAAAAAAAAAAATCAGAACTGATAGTTGCAGAACGACACTCGAGAGGGGTAAAAAAAAGTCAATTTTAGATGTAACTCGAAGAATACTTACATGTTTTCTCCACAACAACACACAGCTGGAAAACAAAATAGCATGTGGCTAGTGGCCCTAGATAGAGCTCTGGGTGCCCTGAAGCAGTGAGCAGCCCCACACACCCCACCGGCGAGCCAGCCTCATCTGTCACCATAATCTACTCGATGATTTCATTTTCTCAAGCCAGTGCCATGTCAGCCTGAGGCTGGCACAGCCAGTGAGCAAGTGACATTCCTGGGATTTTGATCTCACTTGCTGGAGGGTGGGGAGTGAAGAAGTGGGCCTTCTTTTCCAGACCGCTGCCCTCCTGGGTCACAGGGAGCCCCGCCCTTTCCTCTGCTGTTGGTCCTGATGTAATTTAATAATTTTTCATTACCTGTGAATTTCAGAAAACGAGAAAAATTGGCAAGCGAAATGAAAAGAACACATTTCCAAGCACTCAGAGATCACTACTGTGGCTACTTAGTGTACATCCTTTCCAATCTGTTCCGAGCGTAGATGTGTATGGGTGCTGTTTTTACCAAAATGAAGTCATACTACAGCTATTAATTTTTTCTCTCAACTCCTATTTAGAAAAATTTCAACCCTTGGGACCCTGGGTGGCTCAGTTGTTAAGCGTCTGCCTTCGGCTCAGGTCATGGTCCCAGGGTCCTGGGATCAAGCCCCGCATCGGGCTCCCTGCTCGGCGGGAAGCCTGCCTCTCCCTCTCCCACTCCCCCTGCCTGTGCTCCCTCTCTCACTCTCTCTCTCTGTCAAATAAATAAATAAAATCTTAAAAAAAAAGAAAAAAATAAAAATTTCAACCCTACAATAAGTTGAAGAACTAGTATATTGAGCATCTGTAAACATTTCACCTAGATTCATGAACTGGTACCATTTTGCCACATTTGTTTTGTCCCTGTCTCTCTCTGTCCCCAGTATACATGGGTTTCTATGTGGATATGTATGTATCTATATCCGGATATAGAGAGCTCTGTGTCTGTATGCAGATGCCCAGATATCTACGTAGAGAGCTCAATAGCAACACAGATATCCAGGTATATATTAACCATTGGAGAGTAGGTTGACCTTTCCCCACTAAATATTTTAACCAGTTTCCTAAGAACTAGGACAGTCACCTACGCTACCACCAAGCGATTGCCATACTCAACAATGTTAACATGGAAACCATACTATTTTTTTTAAAGATTTTTTTTAAGATTTTTTTTTTACTTATTCATTCGAGACAGAGAGAGAGAGAGAGAATGAGCAGGGGGAGAAGCAGAGGGAGGGGGAGAAGCAGACTCCCCGTGGGGCAGGGAGCCTGATACGGGGCTCGATCCCAAGACACTGGGATCATGACCTGAGCTGAAGGCGGATGCTTAACGACTGAGCCACCCAGGTGCCCCAATTTTTTTTAAAGATTTATTTATTATTTGAAAGAGAGAGAGAATGAGCAGGAGGGACAGAAGGAGAGGACGAAAGAATCTCAAGCAGACTCCATGTTGAGCATGGAACCCTACATGGGCCTCTAATCCCACAACTGTGAGATCATGACCTGAGAAGGAAACAAAGAGTCGGATGTTTAACTGACTGTGCCACCCAGGCGCCCCCAGAAACGATACTATTAACTAACATACAGCCCCCAGTTAAAATTCCCCAATTGTCTAACACTGTCCTTTATAGTTGGTGTTGCAGGTTGGGTTCTTTGGATGTACACGTTGAGATGGAGTTTGGGGTACAAGATGTTTGTCAGGGATCTACGCCTGTGCAAGGAAGCAGGATTAGGTAGAGGAAAAAGTGAACGGCCACACAGGACCTGATGAAACCCCAGAGTGGAGACGCTCTGGACTGAGAATTGCCCATGGGAAGGTCCTGTGTGGAGCCAGATGGGCTTTCTGGTCCCTGATGATTCCGTCACTCCATGGGACCACCCTGGGAAGGGTGTGATCTGGGCCAGAGTAGCCCTCCTTTAAAATCTGGGTCATTAGTTGGGCTGAGTTGCACATCTTCTTTAAATTATGACATTTTCCCTGTCTTTTGTCCTTGATGATGTCAACATTTTGAATGGCCCAGTCAGTCGTCTTATGGAATGTCTTTCAATTCGGATTTGTCTGATCCAGTTTCCTAACTTATTTTGCACAGTTAACAGTCTCCCTTCCATTTTAGAAAATGTTCATATCATGTGATAACACAACCATCAGAGGATCCCAATTGATTACAGCCACTTCATCGGACCAGTGTCCAATCCAGGACCACAGATCGCAACTGGTAGTTATGCTCCTCGGGTCCCTTGTAATCTAGCACAGTATTCCTTTCGTGTGATTGAACTTGGTGGAGAGACTGAACCAGCTGTTCAGCAGAGTACCCTCGGGTCCCTTGTAATCTAGCACAGTATTCCTTTCATGTGATTGAACTTGGTGGAGAGACTGAACCAGCTGTTCTGCAGAGTACCCTGTCTTCTCACTTGTCTGCTTGCTTTTGTGAGGTGTCAGTTAGCTGGGTCTACCACTGGAGGAATTCGAGTTAAACAAATGGGGCTCTGACAGATCGTAGGTGATGCTGCACTTTGTGA